CATCATGAGCAGGGACACTGAGATTTCTGTTCCGATAACAGTGCGTTTGAGTGATGTACCGAGTTCCACGCAGTGGGATTTTTGTCTTCCAGCGGCGTAAGGAATGGCTGCTGTGCAGTGCCCAAACACAGAGGGAACAGAGCAAGTCATTCCTTGTGCTCTTTTTTTCTCTGAGAGTCTTTCATTCCCTATTAGAAGAGGGAACTTGGGTCCAATAAGGAATTAAAAATACCACAGTAAGAAAATTGCTACTCTGCTATTGTACTTCTACCTGAATAAGTAGATGCCTTAGCATTTCCTAAAAATGCTGCTAAAAGGGAAAGCCTTAGGTTTTCACCCAGTGGGACAGTATCTTGCTTGAAACCAAAGGTTGCAGTAAAAAACCACTTGGGTTTTGTGCTCTCAGAAGTTAACTGCTCCGTCACTGGCCTCTGATCAGACATTTTCTGCACTTAACAATGGGTGCTAACGCTAGAAGAGGCAGTCGCGGCCGCTTCTGCCGCTGTGCTGGCCTTTCCTTGAGCTGGCACTGGTGTTTGTACGGCTGAACTGCAAAGTACTTGTAGCACCAACAGAGCTCAAAGCTGGCTCGTCTGGGTTTCGGTGGAGAGTTGTGCTGGGAGCAGGATAGGAACAAGCTGTGGGGCGAGGGAGCGGGGCTTCTTTGGGGAGCGTTGCAGCGCTCAGTACGTAACCTTACTAAATGTGTCATGGTTCGATATCGAGAATTGCATCGGTTGATGATCAGGTGAGTCAAAATCTGAAAGTTTAGCAGTGGTCACCTTAATAAAGGTTCTGAAAAGTTAATTACTCTTTTGTCAGGTTATTGTGCTCTGATGCTTAGAGTGCAATACAGAGACCAAACGTCCACTCCTTGGCGTGTGAAGTGGAAGCCACTCTCACGTACGGATGGGAACGTTGGCTTTCTTTGTGTCCGCCTGTGCTTTAGCTTCCTGTAGTCAAGTGTAGTTGTGACAAACATCGGGGTAAGTGACTGTTCAGCTCAGAGCATTTAACTTCAGTCTGACTCACAGGTAGGTCTTTGAGGTCATCTCTGCAGGGGCATTAGCTGTAAAATCCCAGCTTTGATCTTGCACCTCCAGAAGACAGCCGGAGTGTGAGAAGCACCCGTGGTCTTCTGTGCCTTAGCAACAGCAGCTCGCGCTTGGGTGGCTGTTTGCTTTCTCCTGGAATGTACGCGTGCAGTTGTGGGCTTGGCCTGAGTTGCCAGGAGAATAACTGAAAGTGGTGGGGAGTCTGTGGCCAAGGAGTGCTGAGCCGGGGTCGCTTTCACCAGCCGATCGAGTATGGCCGCGCTTGAGCGTTGCAGGTGAGTTCTCACTGTAGAACTGCGAACACGGTTTGCAGCAAGGCTGCTGCTTGTTGTGGTGTTTGTGGAAAGCCAGAAGGATACCGAGGAGCGTGGAAGTTTTAAGTCTGCGTACGTAGAAGGTTGTAGCAAGAAGTCAGAACAGTGATTCTTCAGCACTCATACCTGTACTGATTTCAGCTGGGTCTTACTCGTAGCAAATTTGTTGAACGGCCTGTTTCTTAGTAGTATCAATGTCCAAAGAAGTGGGTTTTTTTCAGTGTTTGTGCTTTGGGGTTTTAACTATTTGGGTGACAAAAAGCATATTTAAGCCTGCCTGTGTAGCTGTTAGAGGTGACTGAAATTTTGCCATCATCTGTAGTAGCTCATCTTGCAAAGTTTGCCGCGATCTTGATTTGCTGTAACACTTATTTTGGTCTCATACGTTTTGATAGCTTCTTCAAGGAACATCAGGACGAGCTTTTTGGGGGTGTTATGCACTGAATGCATTGTATCTCTTTTTATTCTTCACATCTTTTTTCAGCCTTAAGCACCTTTTAAAGGTTATTAATAATAAGCTAGTAATGCAGCTTTTAAGCACAGGAACAAGTAACTGCTCTGGTTGTGTATCAGGAGAAATGTAAGGAAAGCCAATGTTAAGTTTACTGGTGGTGTGGAAGGGTGAGTTTTTTCAATATTGATGAAAGCTATGAAACTTGATTTGAACTTCTCTTAAATGGTCTGTTCACAGGCAGCCTGCTTCTGCGAAGTGGTACGACCGAAGGGACTATGTCTTTATTGAGTTTTGTGTTGAAGACAGTAAAGATGTTAATGTAAATTTTGAAAAATCCAAACTTACATTCAGGTAAGTACCTTGGGACTTCACAAAGCTGAAAGGCATTGGGGTGGGGGGGGGTGGGTCCTAAAGGCTGTGCTGGTACTGATTAGATGATGGCTTTTCTTAAAGTAGCAAGTTCTGTTAATGAAGTGTTCTTTAAGACATTCTCTGCTAAACACCAGCATTTTTTTTCTCTTAACAGTTGTCTTGGAGGAAGTGATAACTTTAAACATTTAAATGAAATTGACCTTTTTAATAATATTGATCCAAATGTAAGTATCTTCTTGACTCTCCTCTTATTGTGTTCTTAGTGCTGTATCCTGAAAAACACCACCCATTCTTTAGGCTACTTCCAGTATTTTGGGCAAATTGTTCCTTAGACCGTAAGAGCATGCTTAAACTCAGATCTGTGAAAGCATCTCTGGACGGTGTTTTTCAGGACAAAGAATAAGTTGATTGGTTAAGACAGATGAGTCTAATATAAGCACTTCCTGGTGAAGTTTGTGATGATTATACTAACAGATACTTGTTTTTTTTCTTTTTCAGGAATCAAAGCATAAAAGAACAGACAGATCTATCTTGTGTTGTTTACGAAAAGGAGAATCTGGTCAGGCATGGCCAAGGTTAACAAAAGAGAGGGCAAAGGTGGGTTTGGGCTCCTTGCTGGCCAGGGTAGCAGTGTCTGTTGCCTCCCCTGGTTTTTAATTTTGTTTAATGCTTGGGTCACGGTTAAATTACGTAGCAGTTAATGGGTCACTTGACGCGCTTATGATCAGAACGGCAGTTCTTATTAACCTTCCTTTTCTGAACAGTAACGGCTTGTTACTCGCTTGTCCTTAAATAACTTCTTCTGTTGACGTGCAGCTCAACTGGCTCAGCGTGGACTTCAACAACTGGAAAGACTGGGAAGATGATTCAGATGAAGACATGTCCAATTTTGATCGCTTTTCTGAGGTACGGGAAGATGAGTACCTGGAGGTTTGGGTTTCCTTCTGGGCTGTGTGTAGGCAAGCAGGGACTGACAGCTGCGGGAAGAGTCTTCTTCCTTGGCGTTGCTCCTGGTGCTTTCCTGGCCGCTGGTCTCGCGTTTGCTGAGGCACAGCCGTTGCCTGCTTTAACCCGTGCCGCAGGCTGTCAGCACGGCGGTGAGATGACCAGTTTGTGCTTGCTATCAAATAACAAAATGAATGTATGTCCTGTTGTAGATGTCAGCACTAACTCAGTGCACTGGTTGGTTTCCAAGGCAATTAATTCAATTTTCTTTTGCACGCTCACCTTGTAATTTCTGCATAGGTGCAGCTGATTTGTCAGAACAACCGGTGGCTGTCGGTTATAACAGTTTTAAGCTATTTTTAGATTTTTGCAGTGCTCCCCTAGCTCACGTAGAGAGTGTAGTTGGCTTCACCTTCTAACGTGGCTATTATCTCTCTGGAACAGATGATGAACAACATGGGTGGAGATGACGACGTAGACTTGCCAGAAGTAGATGGGGCAGATGATGTAAGTATTTTGTTTGCAGCAAAGACGTGCAGGGCTGGCGCAGCGCCCTCCAAATCCATTGTTGCTCACTGAAGAGAAATTCACGTTCCCTCTTCAGCACTGTTAAAAGGTTAAGCTGCACCAAACCTTGCCTGGACAAATGATGTCCTCTGGCAAAAGTCACCTTCCTCCCCTCCAGCAGTGGCGCTGAGGGCGGTGGTGTCAGTGCTTGCAGTGCCCAGACAGCTCGGTGTCACCTATCTCTGCATTGACCGCAGGTCATTATGGGTCTGTAGGCTCTGGCCAGTGAGGCCAAACTAAGCAAGTCCTGTGGAACGTGGAGTTCCTCAAAATATGCGCTCTGACGAAGAGCACGCTTGCTGCTAGACGTTGGAAACGGCAGCTCGTTTGCTGGGTTAGCGGTGGTAGAGGGAAAAGTACCTTCAAGCGCAGTCTGCTCCAGTTAATGTTCCTTCTTCTTTCCAGGACTCACCAGACAGTGATGATGAAAGTAAGTTGACGTTCTCATTTGTTTCTGTGCACCGTGCAGCAGTGCGAGTGCTCACTGAACGCTCCTAGTTGAGCGAGAGCCTTGAGCAGAGCCAGCAGATGTTCTGTCCTGTCAGCCTCGCTAAATCCTGGCTGTGAGCTAATGCCAGTGCCTTGCCTGAGCGGTGTGAGAGGATTTAATCTAGTGAAAGCCTTTCCACACAAGCATGAAATACCAGTTTGACCTTCCCAGCCAGCTGTATGTAGTCCTGGGGAGGCTTTGGCTTTTAAGAGCGACAGGCACGTGCGCGGGACGTCACTGTGTGTGGTGCTGGCCCCACTCGAGTAACTTCTGCATTGGCAGCAGTGGCCGTGCACAGATCTTTCTCGTGAAGAACCAGCTCTGTGCTTCAGGGGTGAGGGCAGAGACCTTAAACTGCCCCATGCCCTCCTTGGTTGAGGGCCAGATCTTCTTGCCTGTGTCCCTTGTGATATAACGGGGTTCCTGGTAGCTTCTTTTTTAAAAAAACAAACAACCCCAGCAAAACTCACCCACTAATGCTGCTCTTTTTCTCTCTAGAAATGCCAGATCTGGAGTAAGGAAAACTGTCGTCTTCAGGGTTTTGGGGAAAGAACTTCATCACAACATTTCATAATTGAGATAAGAATTCCTGAGTTGATAGCCCTAAAGGGAGATCCTGCATCCTTTAACCCATTTTCAGTCCATTTTAAATGGCTTCACTGATGGTAGGTGTGTACCATTGCACGGGGCGGTCTTAAGCCACGAGAGGCAATAACGTTATGCATGAACCGTTTTTCCAGACTTCCAAAAAAAAAAAAAAACCAACCCAATTGAGGTGTAGGCAATCGATACAGAACAGTTGCAATAAAGTTTACAGAGCCTCCTTGCCTCGTAGCAGATGTAATTACAGTGGGAGAATCCTGAATGTACACCAAGTGGTAAATGAGCTTCC